TTCGCGTCTACTCGCTGCATCCTCGAACGTGCGCGCACAAGTTTCAGGCTTCATACGCGAGGGCAAAGAATACCGCGGTCATTGCTCACGTGTTAATCATATATGCTAATGAAAGTACCGTGTCACGTTCTCGGACGCTGGATGAGCATTTCCATACTCACAATCTTTAGATGCGTCCAAAGATACAACTCTTTCAACGAATAGTTGTCTCACGTAATCACGACATTTATTGTCCGGTAAAGACCATGAAATTTGTTGATAGTATTGCTTTAATTATTTTCTTACATAATAATAAATACAGATCTCGAAATAAGCAATTTTATCCTCGTAAGTAGTCCGTTTTCAGATCAGTAGAATAATGTCGGATTTTGTGTTCGATATCTATACTGTACATGCGATAACGCGTCGCGGAATCGAAGAGGAATTCTAGCGTCTTGCAGACGCTGTAATAAATAAACAAAAGAAACGCACGTGTGCGTCCTCGAGCCATCTTTTAGATGCATTCCGCGACGCGCGTTCAGCCTGATTATTCAGGCGTTCGCGAATCTCTTTTCTTGTCGTTTAATGACGCGATAAGCGATACTATCGCATGGCAGAATGCCAGGGGTAGCGTTTTAATCAAGATCGTGTCATATCGCTCACCTCTAATGTTTGCCACGGCCGAACGTGAAGGGGATCGCATGCTCCATCTTCGGAATAACGTTTTATCTGATGGGACCCGCGACACTCGTCCCGCACGTGATTTGCATAATCTAATACCCTCGTCGGAGGCGCGGAATAAATATAGGAATATGACGCGCCATTTCTGCGAGATTCAAAGCGATGTAACTTGCTAGCGTGATAATGATGCCTAGCGCGGCTTCGGATGCATGCGTAATTTTGCAAAAATGAGATTTTAAGTTCAAATCCTGGCTGACATGACATAATATTTTTCGCAATAAGTTCTCCGCAGTATTTTAAGATGCTTACAAGCATCGGATTAAGAATTGAAGATCCACTGTGATCTTGTTATTCCAACTTCACCTAATGATTGCGTTGCAAATCCGACGCGCTAAATTTAAGTGGCTGAATAATGGATTTAAAAATTCGTATAGAATTTATTAGACCAAGATCCAGCCGTGACTGTAAAAGGCGTTCTCTTAAAATTCTCCTAAAATTTATTTGTGTTATTCACTTAGACGATCTGGTTCAAATTAATATCAAATTAAAAATAAGATTTTTCTATCGCTTTAGCTATTTCAATGCAAACAAATTTTGATTAAATTCATAAATATAATATTATTAAATTAATATGTATGCATGTACGGCTATCTTTTTCAAAAATTCAAAAATGCTTTCTTGTTTAAGAAAAAGTTGTACAGTGATTCATCGAAATTAATTTTAATAAGCTTTACAAAACATGAGTAAAATGATATTCAAAAAACTGAATATTTAAAATCTTGATATTTTCTAACATGAAAATTATCGCTGTCGTACCTAGACACATGTGTATCAAATAAATAACTCAAAATTTGAAAGGCAAATATCATTAACGAAGCACTTTGTGGAGCTTATGTCACTAATTAATGGACTAGAGAGATACGTTCTGCTCAGACAGTGCAAATGCATCTTCAAAATTTTTCACGCATCTGAGACTTTTCGTTTGAGGGAAACATCATCATTATTGACGCCAAAAGCGCACGAATATAAATTTCCAACTGGAAATACACTACGGCCGCTAAAATCCAACGAAACGTTTCCAAATCGTTGATGCCTTCACATATAGTGAGCGAGCAAAACGATCATGAATTATTAATTCCACATGAGACGCCTCCGGGACGACGTGCGCGCCCGCACGAAAACACGTGGGCGCGGTTTTAAATCAGGACACCGCGCGAATGGTCTCGAATTAATTAAAATTTGACGGTCGCATTAAGAACCGGTTGTAAGATCTATCCGATCCGGCGGCGCGAGGATCTTGCGAGACGAGAGAGAGAGAATAAGCGCTTCTTTCCAACGATTGCGAGGAGAGCGAGGGGAAGGAGACAAGCGATCCCTGGGGACTGTGTAGAACAGAACGTCCGCGGATCTGCTCGCAAACCGGTTTAAATCCGCGATTAACAGGAAACGCGCGGAATTATCCGTTTCCTCAATTTTCATTAGAGAGTCGTCTGAGCTACCTACGAGCTAGAGACGTCCGAGTTGGAGCTCGCTGTTGCGATTGAAACCGTTAGATTCAGTAGATCGGCAAATACGACAATTACCTACGAATATATTGTTTTATATTACTTAATTTTCAAAGTTAATTCCATGTGACCGGAAATAAGCGAGGCTTAAGCACCTCTGCGAGTTTATGTTTGTGTTATATTCAGCATGCGCGATACACTCCATTGAGCTTGCTACTACGTAGGTGAAACCAGTCGATCGATATGCTTAATGATCCACGACGCTTTTAAATTCGCCATTCGTATAAAAGGTCGATGATTTTTCGGCTAAATGTAGAACGAGGTAAAAATCGAGATTCGCCGAGTTCGCGAGATAAAAACGAAGGTGAAACGACTACTAAGTCAATAATATGATTAAATATTCGATAAACTTTCAAAGCATTTTTAAATAGAAGATAAGATCTAAATTGGAAATTATACATAAAGACTAGCTACATATAATATAATATACATAAAGACTAGCTATATACAAATATAATATACATAACATATAATTATACATGAATATTTTAATATTTATATCGAATTTCAATTTAAATCAATAAATATAAATTAATCTCTGTCTGCATGTTAATATTAAATTTGCAAAAATACACTGTCAACAACTGAGAGATAATTTGATTATGACACTATAGAAATGTAATAACGAAGAAATATTCATCATAATATCTGCAATACTTGTTGCAGTATATCAACTTTTCAGTTACAAAATCTTCGAAAAAACGGTAAGTTTTGTGAAGAATCTCAAAATAGAAATACGATACTCTAAAACAAAAGCAAATAAAATAATCCTAGCAAATCATGAAAAGCGCACCGCAGTCGGCAGTTTCAGACTCGTTTCACCTGCCCTCAAGCTATATTTTCGGAATGCAAGTGAAAACAAATAATACCCAAGTGTACCTGTCCTTCGAGGGGGCGAAGTTTGCCTGCGGTGTATGGCTACGGCGTGCCTACCCAGCTCGACAGGACCCTCGACAACTCGATTTTCACCCTCGATAGGCTTCCACTGCTGTTCAGGTGCACCACCGAAACCGCCCCTAAACCGCCAGTGTGTGATTTTATATTTAAATCAATACAAATAAATCTTCTTTTCGCCTCTCTGTATGATGCGTAATTATTTGCAAGAAAAATATTGAGAATCTTCCAAAATATTGTATATACATGTATTATATAAATATATATTCATTAACTGTATATGTTTATAGATTTATCTATTTGGTGTTAACGTATCCATTAAACTATTCACCTGACGTTCGTATCCATGAAACAGGTTGTAAAAAAAATTTCCACCCCGTAAAAAAAAAACTCGGCAATTCGTAGGGTGCGAGGTAAAGAAGAAAAAGTTTACCTCCTCACAAAACTTTCAGACTTTTTTATGACGGTACAGCTAATGGACGTACCGTGATCGTGTCATGAAGACAAGGGGCCGAGTTCCGAGATAACAAAAAATCCGGTCGGAGGCGTATTTAATAGCGGGGGTTGCCGCACCTATCACGAGGCGTCTAGACGCTTCTCGGCTCTAAATCTCTTGAGCACAGTGGGGTAATGAAGGAAGCCGGGATACGTTATTACCGCACGTTAATTACTATAACTTACCGGTTAGCTATACGCTAACCCTTTGGCTTAAAAATTCTCAGCAACGATCGTAGCTGAAATTACTCTTTCTGAACTGAAGGAATCACTGATACCTAATAAATAAATTGTTTGTGCAAAATTATTAAATACTTTAATTTAAAAAATATATTCAATAAAATGTGAATAATAAAATAAATTTTTATACAAAATAATTTGATTGATTGGACACTTAAAAAAAAATTTAAAAAGAGATATGAAAAATATTAATATAAATAATTAAAATATTTTCACTTGTCCAATTAAATTTATATGTAATAAATAAAATTAATTCGTAATAATTTTGATTTAAAGTTTATAATGTATATTTTATAGAACCTGCACTTTCCTTTATCCTCTTTATCCCTCTTCTCTGATAAAGAATCATGCACGTAGGGTGTAGAATTTCTACATTGAAATACACCTCGAGTCACGCTACTTCGCGTGCCGAAATTGAATACGCAATCGATTGTATCTTATGAGTTGATATAATAAACGTTTCGTTGAATGAGTTGAATCTACAATCGACTAGTCCATGATTAAACATTGAGCTTCCTTCATTCATATCATTATCTCTATTATCGCTAATGTCGTGTACAACCGTTCAATGTTATCGTTTTCGAGCCACGCCAACTCCTATGTTAACAGCAAGACGCAACAAGTTGGATATTCTGCATTCAGTGTAAAGACAATGACAAAATCCGTCTCTCCTCACGCAAGCTCGCGTGACGCGCACGAACGTGTCGCAACAGGTTCGAACCAGTCTCGAAGGAGGAACACCCCCTGTATAGCTAGCAATCCGGACTCTATCCTAGAGAAAGAGACCCCTCTTAGAAAGCCTAAGAAATCGGAGTCACGCGGAACGAAGAAAGCGAGGATGAACCACTATGCAGAAGGTCGGATGGGGGTGATCACGGGGGTGTGCGCGCACGTGTATGTGTATCACGAAGGGGGCCCTTGCGAGTAGGGTGCTGTAAGGACCGAGATAGGTGGTGGGCGATCGGGCGGCGAAGGCGGAGGAGGGAGAAGACCGGCAGATGGTCGGCGTGGACCCCGACGTGGGAAGCTCCGAATTCTCCGAGTTCCCACAGCCAGAGTGCACCTGCCTTCCCCACTCTGTCACCCCGTGCAGCCTCGACGGGGCTATATAAGGACGGGGTTGCTCGTACTAAGGTACCATTCGCTCACTAGCCTCTCGCTCCAAAGCGACTTGCCCGAAAGCACATCCTCTTGCTTTCAAGTTCTCCCATCAAGTTCCTATCGAACGACAGTTCGTGCCACGTGTTCCGAGTTCCGACAGTTCGGAAGAAACCGGTTCAGTGTACCGTGGTGCGAGAAGGAGAACACTCAGAGAAAGAGAGAGAGAGACAGAGAGGGATAGAGAGAAAGAGAGAAAGAGAGAGAAGAAAGATGGCCACCATCACGAGCGAGCAATCGCTGTTCGACCTCGAGCTCAACGACGTGTTCGAAAACGAGCTCAACGATAATCTCTACAATCTGAAGATGTCAGAAGATAAGACAGTGAGCAGCCGCAAGAGCAGACGCATGCTGAAGCCGCTGAAACCGTTGCTGCGAATGCTGAAGAAGCGCACTAGCAGTTACGTCAAGAGCAAGAAGCGTCAGGAGGCCGTACCTCAGGTGGAGATCTTCACTGAGGAGATCGAGAACCAGAACAACGCCAACGAGACGCTGGAGCGTAGACTCCTGCAGGAGCTGCGGGACGCCGAGGAGGGAGCCGCCATCACCGTCTGCCTGGACGGACAGATGACTGTCGTGCCGGTTGTGCCTGGTCAGTGCTACGTGCCAGTGCATTTCGCCCACACCCACGCCGGCGACTTCTACTGGACAACTCTCAGCATGGCCGACAGGGACCTGTGCTACAAGGAGCGCGCCTTCTCGCAGTACCAGCTTCCCGAGGTGCAAGTGGCGTGAGGTGTCGTCTTCGAAAACGACATCATCTACCTCAAAGACGAGTCAGCTGATCGTTCGAGATTCGCCGAACTTCCTCCTGCGGAAGCGTCCTCGAGGTCGAGGACCGACGCTGTCAATCGAGTCGTGAGGCGACAGCTGAGACAGACATTTCGAAACTGTGATCGTTAGATTATATTATATAAATTATAGCTCATTGACAATTGACTGATCGAGAGGAGCATTCCTTGTAGATGAAAATTAATATGTCAAAGAGAAAGAGAGAGAGGAGTTATATTTTTTTTTCTTTTTTATTTTGCGGCGACACTTGTCGCGTTTGTGATATTTGTACCTATATTATATGTATGTATACAAATTTATAGAGAGTGTTATTTCGAGATTGTGATATCGGCTTTAATGTCAGCAAGTATCGCTGACACATTCCTATTTGTCTTCCAATATGTTTGTTTGAAATAAATGTTAATCATAAGCAAATATACCTTGTCTCAATTATTATAATCTTTTCCTTCATCTTAGTCTTAAGTAAATAATTTTAAGAATATGACAAAAATTTTAAATCTTTTTTATTTCAATATATTTCTTTAAAATCATAGAAAGAGAAAATAATTTGTCGTAAAAGAAATATACGAAAAATGCCCTTTTAAATTCACATCTGACATTCTTAAAAAGATATTAAATTTATTAAATTAGATTATTTTTAAAAACATTTCTCTTGTAACATTTTTCTTTTAGAGCTTCATTAAATTCAATGATCTGAAAATGTCTCAAATATTACTAAAGGTTAATGCAAAAGTTTTGACCAGATACTTAATATAAGTTCAAGAGGAACGTCGGACAATATTATTTCAGGCACAGAAAGCTAAGAAGTAGAGGGAGATTTTACGCGGGAAAACTTCCTCAAGGTGAGTGCAGGTGAGATACGGAGCTACGTAGCCAAATAAATTGTGACTATTAAGTATGATTATAAAGAATCTCAAAAAAATTTCAAATTTTGATTTAACCATTCATTATTAAAGAGTTATTGTTGCTACATAGAATGTTGTGTTTCGTAAATTGTAACATATGTAAGTTATAAAGATACGCCATATTGAACTTCTTTTGTAATAATTCGGAAATAGAAAAAAAGTAAAAAAAACGTAGACAATAGCTCGTTTTAGAAAATTCAGCACAGATATGATCGACATTATGCACACGTGTTATCCATATGTGACAGACACATGTCCACTGTGGGGTAAGTAGATAGGGGTGCATGCGAGTTCGCATGATTTTCTACAGTAGACACACGGGGGTATAACCTCGACCCTTCGAAAAATAACAAAAGATACCACGATAATCAGTAACCATACATTGAAGTATAATAGAATAATCGGAGGGGTGAATAATTTGCAAATTATATACGATAGAGCTGATCGAATTTGGTTTACTTAATAGAGACATTCGATCGTGAAGCGCTGATATCACCTGGCACTATGATCATTATCATTAAAAATAAATAAGCAATCTTTTCTCTCTATATTATTTGTAAGGAATAATAGCTTGTTACCATTATTAGTATTCAAATAAAAAAAAACAACAAATAATATAAGTACGATTTTTTTATATAATTATATATTTATCTAAATTTATACTTTTATGAAAGATAAATTTCTTTAATATATATAATTAATATAATATATATACTTATCAATTAAATAATAAATATCGAAACTTATGCTATGCTATCTTTTTAAATTTAAAAATCAACAAAGACCATCAAAAGTTATTAAAAAATAATAAACTTTTTAAAATCAATTGTTACTCTGTTTACTTTGCATAGTTGATGAATTGATTAAATGATCAGCAATAAGAACAAAATGGCTTATGCATAAAAAAAAATTATTTACATCTCTTGATGTTGGGATAGATCAGCCTGTAGGCAAGGCAACCCTTCGGACAACCCTGCATTTTGGCTTGCACCCGCGTTGGAGGGGCAGAAGCTTTCTTTAGCATCCGCTTCTACTTTAAAAGAAGTCAGGCACGACGTGGTGACATTGTAAAATAACTTTGAAGAAAGCCCGCCCGGAATGTATCAATTACGTGAGTTATTTTCACCGGCGGCGTCGCGACATTGCGTCGATTAAATAAATTAATTCATTATCCTGTTACAGTTGCTCCCCCTGTCCCTCCATCCACACTACGTTCTCTCACCTCATTTACGGTCGTCTCACGGCTATCCGGACCATGTAAATTGGTCGGAACGAGTATGTCGCAACCGTTCGATAACCCTTTTTCGTAATTACAGTGATTAAAATGTTCGCACAGGAATTTTTCCTCGTACAAAATCGGTCTTGCTGAATAATATTCACACGGTGAGGACACCTTAACTCGTACTCGCTCAGGACATAAAAGGCGCTCGAGACATAAAAGGCATTCGAGATATTTGTGAATTTGTCTAACGGAAGAATTCATATTGCGATGCTACCTCAGATATCAATCCGTCTGCTGCTTATATATTTGATTATAGTCAAGATAAAAAAATCTTATACAAGCAAGTTAGATTTATTTTCTTAATAAAAAGCGATCTATACAAACACACAATAAAAATATAAAATTGTTAAAAATTTGCAGATAAAGTATGTATAACTAAAAAGAACATTTCGTACAATGTAAAAAAAAAACGAGAAAATCATTAAACTATTTTGATTAAGAAAATAAAATGTTAGAATAAATTATGAGAAGCGATTAATATTACTTGAAAATTGTAATTTTAACTCCGCATGGGAAAACGATATGTTTCATATTTTCTTTTATCGTGTCACTTTCTCGTTGGCAATCCGCATCAGAAAAGATGATATCGAAAAAAGAGTCGAAATAAACAGATAACTTTATTTTTCTTAAAAGACTCATAATCGTGAAACATTTGCTGTTATATACAGGAGTATGATATTTTTTTATTTTATTATAACGTCATTAAAATCAATTTTGTAAGCAAAAATAAGTTCCTTTGTATGAGCAGATAATTAATGTTTCAATTCAACATTTTAACATCGAATATATAACGATCAGTTTTCTATATATATCTATTCAATGTTAATTAAATATTTAAGAAGACAAAATATAACTTAAGCAGATTAAGCTGTAATTCCGTCATATACGAATATAACATCATGTGCAAAAGTGATAAAAGATTTACAGTAAGAGGGAAAAATAATAAATCCGGTTGAAATGTCGGGGCACGGTAGAACCAAGCGGTTCGATCGACAAACAATCGTCGCTACTCAGTTGACATTTCTCGAAGCGAGAGAAAAACCACGTGTCGCGCGGAATCGGCCACCACTTCCTCCTGCGTACGGCCGACAGTCGTCGGCCTTTACTGTCCTCCGCGGAGTGAATGGCGCGGCGCCGCGTACCTCCCTCCTCGACGCCGGTGACGGTGGTGACCCGCTCGTGCCAGCGGAGAACGCTCGCTCGCGCTACTCGCTCATTCCCACGGCCCCGATATCGCTGCATTAATGCGAGCCGGCGCACACGCGCGCACGCACGCGATCTCCCTCGTGCGCGCGTGTCAAGCCGGATCCAGACTGAGCGAGCGAACGCGAACGAACACGAATGAACAGCTCGCTTCAACGAGCACGAACGGTACCGTTTCAAGCAAATCATGCATTCGTGTTTATTTGCGCTCGCTTGGTCTGGTTCCGACTTCACGTGTGCCCGAGCACTGGGCAACCGCACATCATGCGGAACACTCTCTCCATGTGTGTTTCTAACAAATTACTTCTCGCGACACATTTATTATCGAAATTTAAAAAATTATTTTTAATGATTAAAAATAATACGAAAATACAGTTCTTTCAGTTTATATTTATAGTCGTTATATGAATCGTAACTGTGGTAAATGATCAATACTTTTTCTCAAAGTGTCATGTTGGCTCAGAGATTAATAAATTACGATACGATATGTATAGGTATTCAATTTAGTTCAAGTTTAGACTTGAGTCTAAACAGCAATTAAAGAAGCAATCGTCACTCGTAAGTATCGAAAGGCAACAATTTAGAATTTCTATTCTTTATCGATCTCTATTTCGGTAAATTACAAGAAACAGCTACATGAAATAGTTGCTTCCTCGATATTGCGAATTTTTCATTGCGAGACTTGACAATTAGATCGTACCGAATTGTGATCGCAAAATATTCGTAGGATTGCACTTTTCTCCCAACACTTGTCGCGATCGCATTTCGATAGGTAACAACATGTGGAGCGGACCGCGACACTTATACCTGCCGGCTCGAGTCTCAGTACACGAATGGGAAGGGCGGCGACCTTGTGTAAATACAACATACTGTACCCCGCAATAAACCTCAAGGCCGCATGTCGATAGAATTGTCGTCTCGACATATTCAATGTATTATAAAAATAAAGTCACACTGAATATGCAAGTGGAAACATAACTATGAAATATGAATACGAGGCTAAAATACATACTCGTTGACAGTTATTCTTAATTCAAACATTTAGAAGCGTATCACCAAAGTAAAAAAGTTTCATAAGTGTGAAGTGATTAATATAACTCTTTATGATCGATAAAATAAGGTTTCAAATGAGTATCTCTCAGAAGATAAACTGATCAACTCCATGTAAATTTTTGAAATTTCGGTTTTATAGAACACATGATTAGTTTATACCTTCAATTTTCTTTACTTTTTATCTCACAAAGTTCCTCAGTTTGGCTTCTAAGAGAATCATTTGATAGAATATGATTATTTAATCATATTCTATCTATAAAAGCATTCCATACTATATCTTCGTCAATAATTCTTTAAATTACATTTCTTGAAAATTAAGTTGTAAAACATTTTTAAATTACAAAAAAAAATAGTCAAGACAAAAAATTGAAAAAAATCCATCTCCCATCGAGGATAGATTTTCATTTATACATTTCTTTTTATGTAATAATTATCAACAAATAAATCGTATGTGATTAAAGAGTCTGGAAACAAGCTGTTCACGAAATTTGACGAATCTAACACCCGTGCGTTAATTGGCACTCACTCTAAATCTGTCAATAATTACGCAAAGGAAGAGAACACACGCCAGTTTCAGCTGCCAAGAGATCCCGCCGCCGGCGAGCGAGCGACAGCGGCGAAAAAGAGCGCTTCTTTCGCGACTGGATGAGGAGGCGAAAGGGAGCAGGAATGAAATTGGCTCGTGACTAATGCCGTTCGTCATGGATGATCGCGAAGCGTGCTTGCGCCATTCCCCGTGCTAATCCCGCGACGCCATTCACAGGAAAAGAAAAGGAAGACTCGAATTGTCCCCTCGGCGCGTACGCGACCTCTTTGAGCCGAACGAGCACGTCGCAAGATCTCTTTAGAATGGCGAAAGCAATTGAAATAGACGACTGTTGCATAACGATGCATCAATAATAGCGCGATCGATCAATGACGCACGATTTGCAAAGTGCGAATATTTAATTACAGAGGAAGCCGTACACAATTC